CATACTCATTAACTGTCAATATATTTCACCCCGCGATATCTATGCAATGCAAGAGGTGATACGCCGCTGCTCGGAACCACCTAAGGTTCACAGATAGTACTGGATAGTACCACAAAAATGCGCAGGTGGAGCGCGAAGTCGATATATTTTTAGGCACTCAGGAAGAAGTTTTTCGCGACGCAAGTTAACCCGGTAAAATTTACCGTCTCGGTACCTATCTAATTTTCTCTTCACAAAACGCATTCTCGTCATCTTGTATGTGCCATATACGGGTGTGCGATCCTCAATCCTAGCTAGGAGAAAGAAAGGAGTGAGCGCCAAGGGAACTCCTGCAGAAAAACTGAAACCAACCGGTAAGTCCCTCGTTGCATTGCCGATCATCAATTTTCATTTAATGAACCAACATAATTAATACAGTCCACTGCTCTCAAACTCGTACAGTAAGAGTTTGTCTAATATTTTGTCTAACTCAACTCCTTCCTAATCAGTTATCTGGATTATTCGATTATTGAGTATCTGTATCTAGTATCTCAAATCTCATACATCTGCTTATTTGTCTAAATTCTAATTCACCTGATTCGTGATGAATAATAAAAAATATGTTATTAGATCATTGTAAAAATCTCATTTCTGGTATTGTATTATTGACGTTTGACGTGATGTAAATTTGTCAATTTGTCAAAATGGCACAAAAAGCATGGAATACATAATCCATAGAAATACAGACTAAAGTGGTCTGCATTTGACTTTTGGATCAGGTATTTTATACTGAAGGATGTTATGAATATGAATATATTTTTGTAGAAAGTTGAAATTGAAAAAAAGCTAGAAAAAATGGCTGAATGGCTAAATTCAATTTTCAGTAGCTAGACGAGTTTAAAAATGGCTAGAACTAGCCATAAAATGGCTGTGTTGGCAGCACTGCCTCAGTGACAAAGTGTCTCTGTCTAAGCTGTCAAATTTTCAGCGTCATCAACTAGGTATGTTCCACTGACGATTGGCGTGCACCTACACTTATAAAGGTTCAGAGTATATCTCCACAGTCACACCTTAAATCCAATTACTTGCACACTCACAAATTTGACTCCACTCAATGTATCTCGTGAGCATACGCTGGCATTTTTAACATACGTCGACAGGCAGGCAAAACCAGTTCATATCGATCTTGGCGCGCTGATAAATTATAATTTCAATTCGTAAAACGTAGGCCCAGAGACAGGATTCAGGAAGTCTTAGGTCTGTCTCGGGACAGGATTCTAATAAGTGGTTCGCTGCATATGAACTAGGATTTACGGTCGGAATGAACTGTAACATCACGTCACTATCTATGATTACTGAGTTGTTTATTGTACAGATGCATTCGATATACGTGTGGTAGTGAAGACTGTTTGTCAATGCAGTTTTTATAGAATGCTGATGTTTTTATATCCGATGTTAATTCCAACATGAGAATTGGGGTGAAACTTCCTGTAACCAATCATGATAGTTATATCATTATCAATCAATTCAAGAAACATGGTGATATATTCGAAGGAAATTCAAAACGTGCCTTAATGGTAGGCTCTTCAGGATGCGGTAAGACGAATTGTATGATTAGTTTGCTAGATGAACCAAATGGATTGAGATTCGAAAATGTTTGTTGTACTCCAAGTCCCTGTATCAACCAAAATATGAATATTTGAGGTTGCTGCTTAAACCGTTGAAGGATATTGGATATTTCGAATACCATGATGGAGATGAAGTAATTACTCCAGGTGAAGTAGCTCCAAATTCAATTATTATATTCGATGACGTAGCCACATGCAACCAAAACATTATGATAGTTTTTTTTCTGTTTTGGACGACACAAAAATACAGATGTATTCTATTTATGTCAGACTTATGGTTCCATACCAAAACAATTGATAAGAGATAATAGCAACCTCATCATCATTTTCAAACAAGATGTCAATGTTGATATGTCATTTCAGAAATTCTCTGAGCTGTGTTTATTTTGTTGACAAGAGAATCATGGATTTGTTGTAATTGACAAGGATGGAGATATTGGAAAAGGTAGACATAGAAAAAGGCTCAATGAAATTCTGATAGTTTAAATTGATGTGAAACATTTGCCAAGTATCAGTATAGTTATGGAGTTTAATCTAGCTGAACAGTTGGTGAAAGCCAGGAAATCTGTCAAGAAAAAATATCAAGGGCTCAAGTCAGATATTGCACAATGGGAATCTCCATTGGAAAAAACATATGAACCGATAATTGATCCTTTAAGAAAATTATTGTCATCAATCCATGAAACAGCAGTGGAAAAAACTGAAGCTGCTTTATTCTCAACTCCCCAACAGAAACAGTATTAAAATTGATGCCAGATGAAACGATACCACAAAATCAGGAAATATTCCAAACATTTACACAAAATGAGGAAACATTTCTACATGAACCAGGTATAAGTTAAATAAATGTAAGAAGCTGACAGTCATTTCCACACAGTGTTCATAAAATGAACAACAATGGTAGATTTCGGGAGAAAAACAACTACTTCCCTGGCTAATGCCACGCAGGATATTGAATTACATCCTCCCGAAATCTATGCATCGACTCGTTTAAACGAATACTGATACAAGTGATTCTTTCCTGAATGCCTATTGATTTCGATCAAGCCAGGAAATCTACCATTGTTGTTCATTTTATGAACACTGTGTGGAAATGACTGTGAGCTCTTTACATTTATTTAACATTTCATTCCACTGTGAGCATTGTGGCTATTTCGTAGTTCAGATATAAGTTATTTTGACCAGAGCCTCGGGCAATCACGACAAGTTGAAAATCTCCAGGCTGCCAGACAACCAGAATGAGAGAAATATTTGGAAAAATCTGAGAAACCTTTCCCTAGGGCTTACATCGAAGATATATTCATAGGTGACCCAGATCAATTTCATTCATACATTCGGCGTCAGATATGAAGTTACCACATAAAGTTGGATGATTGGTGATAGTGTTATAGAATTCCTTGGACCACATTTTTTGATACATGGAGTATCCTATAAAGGTACACCAGGTCTTTATGAATTGATGTTCAAAAAACATCCACTCAATTATCCAGCCTAAAGTAACGTCACTTCATTCTATGGCTAAACAAGTTGGAAACCAAACTCTTCGAAAAACGTCGGATACTCACTAGATCTCAATCAGTAAGTGGAAAAGAAATAGCGGCGATGAAACTCAACAACAAGAAAATAGATTACGAATATTATGATGACTACAATGAATTGGTCGAGAGATTAAAATTACTCATAGCGGAACATTATGCAGGTCATACTGGTCATAACAATGAGATAATGTCTGTAATAGAAGAGCTTAGAGAGGCGAAAATAATTGAATAAATACTGTTCACATCAATTTTTATGTTTATTCATTTGGTTTCTACAGAACAGGTATCATGACTAGTAGTAGTAGATCAATCACAGCGAAACTACTCTGTTGATCAACAACCTGTGAATATATCTCAGTTATACAGTGAAAGTGTTATAACAATTAGTGAAACTATATCAGAAGTGACTAAGACAACACCATGGCAATATGAATCAAATAATAACTCAGTTCATTATACATTTCCTCTGAAAGAGGGGTTTCATAATTGCCATCGATAATCATCCAAGTTTATTATCAGTTGTTGTAAATTAAAATACAATAGATGCTAGAGACTCAGTTGGCCAGAAACTGACAGGAGGCACGATTTTGAAATTCTTTGCTAAGACAAATGTTACTGACGATAATTTATACCTCCAGTTAGTTGTGCATTCTCCTATTATCAAGTATGTCTGAGATTGAAAAAGAGGTGGTAGAGATACTTCATAAACCGGCGAGAAGACGATTTCATAGAAGACGAGTAATACTCAAAGTATTGAATGATTTGTTGGAACAGTGGCGCGGAAACAATATAATTAAAAAAAACTCAGATAGTGAATAGGCATAGTCAAACAGCGTACAGATATAATACTTTAAAAATATGTAAATGACAATAACAACATAGATCATCAGAAAACATAGTAACATTATGAATGCAATCTGATTGTACTTATCAATTATATTGAAATTTGAAGACGGCGAGATCTGAGAGCCAAGACATCAAGAACTTCGTCTTCCGTAATAGGAATATCTGGATGAATATACATCAAGGCTAGGCCGTTTAATCTGTCGTCTCCAGTTGAATTCCGCAAATAATTTTTTAGAAATTTCAGGGACGAAAACCATCTTTCACAAGAGCACGTGGTGACTGGTAAGGTTGCCATTATGATTAGAAGTCTATAAATTGTGGGAAACAAATTTTCATTGCATACTTTCATAGCCTCAATCGCACTTCGTGGCTTTTCTGTTTTATCTTCGATAAACTGAACCCAAAGTGTAACTTCTCCCAACGCACCAGAATCGTCCAGTCCATAAAATTCCAGAAGCTGTTGTGTAGAATTGAAAATTTCGCTGATGTCTAAACTATTATCATGACATGAAAGTCTTTGAAAAGGTTCGAGAGTATTTCTATGATTTATAAATTTTTCATTTATTGCCTGTATTGTTTGGTCGAGAAATGGAACATAAATAGCCCTTCGATAATATTCTTCCGGCGATGATCCAGGAACATTATTTCTGTTGGTCTGCCGATTAGTGGTTCTGGGTTGTAGAATTGTGATATCAAACTCATCACAGATCGTTTTGGTCTCTTGATGAATATCTGAAAATGACTTCTTGTCTCATTTTTTACAGCGATTTATTGACATCTTCAGCTGAATCAAGAGCTAAACTCAGGTCCAAATTTGGTGTCTGTAAGTACTTGCTCAGTGGTAATGTTGACGAAAACACAGATTTTATCATAATAGTACATAATAGAAAGCTACTTTGACAAATTTCCGATGAAAGTAATTGAGCGTTAGACGCCGTTTTTTTATCGGTCCATGTGGCAATCTCAAATAAGGCATTTATTATTGACTTCAGAAGAGAAACGAATGCATTCACGGCGTCGTGTCTCTGAATCCATCTGGTAGGACATAATCTTTTAATTTTTCTATTTTAGGTTTTTCTACTAATTTATTGATCTCATGTACCAGCACACGTTGTCGTTTTGGGAAACTGAAGAAATTATAAGTTGTTTCGATAGTACCCAGACAGTTTCGGACTTCTGCAACTGAACATCCATCAGAAAGTGCTAAATTGAAGCAGTGTGACGAACAATGAACGTACAATGCTTTAGGATAGCTCTCCCGAACAATTGCTTGTGCTCCTCTTAGAGCACCGCTCATTGCACTAGCTCCATCGTATCCTTGGCTAACCAGATATTTTACATCTAGCCCTACTTCAATCATGGCATTGCATATACTATTTGCTAAACCAGCGCCTGTAACATCAGAAACAGGAATAAACTGTAAAAAGTCTTCCCTGATCATGCTATTCTCCACAAATCTTACACATAATGACATTTGAGTAGTACCACTTATGTCGGTAGTTTCGTCGCATAAAACTGAGAAGTTTTTTGCAGCATTTACTTTATCAACGAGTTTTTTCAATAAAATCGAATTGAAGGACGATATTATTTCATTCTGTATTTGCCAGCTAATGTAAGTTGCATTAGCACCTGCTGTGCTTAGGTGTTTTGCCAAAATATTGTCACGAGTAGAACATACGGTATATCAGTAATTTCTAACCATGAGGGTTTTATAAACATAAAGTAAATCGAATCATCCGTTGACATTGAATTATAAAAACTGACCAAGGAACTCTCATGAGAAACGTGCATTTCTAATAAAATGATGTATATAAATATTGGATCTGAGGGTTCCGAAGTTAGTCTGGTCTGGGGCTACTCTTGACTTGACAAGAGCTCGTCGTTATGGTCTCTATAATGTAAGTTGTTATTAGGTCTTTATATTCATTGTTGTTGACTCATATTTTTCATTGGTACCCATAATGTTTCATGCATGCTTCAATAAATATTGTTATGTTTGAATATAATCTCATACTTTCAGTTACCCCTGAACTATTAGTGCCTATTTGAATATTACCTCTCGCAAAATATCAAGCCAAGCTTCACCCCTTATAAATCAATATTAATCAATATGGATGGATCAACCATCTATCTATATCGTGTGAGACAGTTTCCATTATTTTAAGTATTGAATATAAAAATGTGTTTTTATATGGGGCATCTGGCCAGGATTTGCGAACGGTCCAGCATGCTAAAACTGGACTGCCTCGGTTTGATCTTCAAATGGGGCGTTCCTGGTAGTGCACACAGATAGGCATGCTAAAACCATCTGTACCCATACAAAAACTAAGTAAAAAAATATTCATTCATTTTTAACAAAAACAACTCTTTTGTTGTGACAATATGATCTCCTGCCTCTATTCGAAATTTGAGTAAAGAACGAAAATTACCCTCACCTTTGACTGGAGGTTCATTTATATCAAGAGGTCCAGAGTCACGGTGACCTCGAAATGAGTTTCCTAATCTAGCAAGATATATGGCAGTTTTGATTATGGGTTTAAGGCACTTCCGATTATTGATAATTTGATCGTTCTGATGTTTGTCAATTTGTAAAATAACATTTTCAGATTTTCTCATCATAATATTCAAAAAGTTAGCTGCTCGTTCGATACAATTCTTGTGATATGAACATTTTTCATGATTTCTGAATTCTTCTCTGGCATCCTTCCAGTTTTTAAATGGAGTTTTAACTAGTTTTCCGCCCTTAGCTTGTTGCCCGACAACAGTGGAAAATAGCGAACAATACTTGCAGAACACAGAATCTAGAGATGGACTTTAAACTAGCCACCTCCACTCATTGAGCCATTTTATCTGGAATTTCAAGTTCCTAGGTCCTGACGATGGAAATTCATATGACAGATCCGGTGACCAAGGTTTTTCTAAAAGTTTCTGCTTTGTAACATCATCGATTATTTTTCCTAAATACGTCCCAAAATCAGGTCCCCAAATGTCTTCTTTGTGTAACTGTCGCTCATCAATATTCCCAGATGTTGAAGGCTCTGACGTAACCTGAAAGAGAAAAACATCTCAGACTTGAACGTTTTCTTTGAATTTTTCATCCAACCTGTATAATTCGAAAATATGTATTGAAAATTATCACGAAAGATCGTAAGGTTTTTTAATCCGGAAGAAATCAACTATCTAAATTCAAAAACATCAGTATATCAAAATCCAAAAGCGTCCAAGCGTCCGGAAATATTGTACGTCTATGAAATGAGTGTTTGAAATTGAAATGCGGCAACGCAACGATACGATGCATGTTGCTAGAGCGTCATATTTACAAAATACTTACATTTATATTGTTGCTCTGAGCAGAATCCAGTTTCGGTTTCTTAATTATGAATGCATCCATTGTATGTACATATAGTCACACACACACAAATCCTCAAAATTTATTAAAAATCAGTATAACACAAAAAAACACCGCTTCTTGCGCAATCAGCTACTGGAACCGATTGTGATTTGTGATCCACTGACCTGTAACCGTTTAGTGGTAAAGACGTGAGGGTGTAAGGCGCTTCGAACATAATCACTACACAGTTGCCAAGATTATTTTTTTTACCTAGATTGAATAATTATTGATCAACCTTTTCTAGTTTGCGTCTGGGTCTAGGGGGGGGGGGTTTAACCCCTAAATCCTCCCCCTCGCTGCGCCACTGTGTTGGAAGCTGATTTGGTTGAAATGATTCCATATGCTTAATTCAACAAAGGATACAAATATATTTTGGTTGTCATCAAGTCATTTTCCAAATACGTTTGGTGTGAAGCTGTCGAAGGTAAGTCAGCAAAAAATGTTGCACATGCATGTTGCAATCAATATCAACCCCAAAAAATTCACATACTGACCGAGGGCGAGAATTCTATAATAAAGAATTCAATGAGCTTATGCAAAAATTCAAGATTAACCATTATAGCACATTTTCTAGTGTGAAAGCCAGCATTGTAGAACGTGTGAATAGAACATTGAAAAACATGATGTAGAAACAATTTAGCCTTCAAGGTAATTATAAATGAACATACTCGCAGACATCGTTTCCATGTACAATAACAAGAAACATAGAACAATCAGATTGAAACCAGTGCAGGTAAATGAGAGAAACGAACAGTTAGTTTTGAATACGGTTTATAGTAATTTGAAATCAATTAATCAACCAAAGTATAGAGAAAATGATCATGTTCGAATAAGTAAATATCGAGAAGCGTTTTCTGAAGGTTATACACCAAATTGGTCAAATGAGGTATTCAAAATTATAAAAATCCGTGCAACCAACCCGTTAACTTATTACTTGCAAGACATGTCGAAGAATTCAATTCAAGGTGCATTTTATGAACAAGAAATACAGAAAGTGGATTATCCTGATGTTTATTTGATTGAAAAAGTATTGAGAAAGAAAGGAAATAGAATGTATGTTGAATGGCTCGGATTTGATAAATCGCATAATTCATGGATCATGAAAAACAAAGTTGTGTAACTCGTGCTTTGTTACCTTTCACTGCTGCTATCTTTCACCTTTAGGTGTGCTATAAATGAGATCTACGTTTTATCCAAGTGTGTTAGTTGAAACAATGTGTTCCGGTAGTGATTATTTCTGTTCGGAAACTACCAGCGAATATTGGAGTGAAGTAGAAAGAGTAAATCAAATGATTGAACAAAGAATAATGAATGATGGACCATACATTTCGGAATCTTCATTCAGAATTGAAGAAGCACCAATGGAGATATCTTGCGGTATGAGTGTGGACAGATGTTTTGAACCGTCAATGAGGCTGAAAAAAAATAATGATTCTGTACTGTACTAGACTAGCAATAAAACATTTACTTTACTAGCACTTTATATTTTATTGAATATCCGTCAGACACTTTACATTATGACATGACGTACAGACTAGTGAGAGAGCGTAGCGAGACTAAGTCACTTTCTACTTTTCTAGTCTTCCGGAAATAGGTGGCGCTTGTGCGCATACATTGCATTGTTGCCACAGTAGTGGCAGTACATCACACCCCCACACCTAACTTGTTACATAACTATTTCAAAATTGAAGTTCTTTGATTTATCACAATTCCTCAATTATGTATATATATACCTATTCTTAAGACATTTTTTCAGTTTACTGTGTGGTCATGTGACTGAATCCTAATTTTCATTCTGATTTTTTAAGTGTGTCCTCATGTTTCATTTCTACATATTTCTGTTCAAAATTGATATCAGTATCTGCTCAAAATGATTTCTGAGATTTTGAACATTGTTGTTAGTGATTCCTGGCAGTTGATTCAATTCTCTCTTATATTCTAAACATTTTTTTACAATCGAACATACAATAATAAAATACAACATTACATTTATGTTGATGGAACACTGAAGTTTTAACATAATATAAGGACAATTTTTACATGTATGTAAACAAACAAGAATATACTATTACATTACTCAGACATTGACAAAAAGTCCTCATCGGATACATAAACATCAAATCTCGCAGGTTTTTTTAATTTTCTCTTTGGTCTACTCTCTCCCCTAAAGTTCTCGCTACTACTCCCTGTTCCAAAATTTCGAGTCGAAATGCATGACTCTTCCTTTGGATACGTGGGTTTGTCTCTACTAGAAATAGGTGAAATATCAGACATGTTGCTACCTTCATCAGTAGGTACTGGTGAACCTGTAGGTGAACTCAAATCAGAATTGGATGAAACATCACACTGAGAAGTATTACTTGAGTGAAAGTTATGGTTCAATTCGCCTGAGTGGCGCCTCTGAACTGCAGGATTTTCATTTTCCTTAGTGGTAGGCAAAACCTGGTTGGTTGGATAAGGCATATTTATAAAATAATCAACATCTTTATTGCTATGATTTTCTTTAAAATTCCTATTCCCTATTTCCTTTTCATCGCCCTGATCTCCTGTCACATCCTGGGAATGTTGAAATAGCTGTATTTGATTTGTGTGCCTTTTCCACACTGGACCAGATTTTAATTTTCAAATGTACGTTGGTTTTCCGATTTTGTTTGTTATACCCTGGAGACCAATTTTTTTGATTAATTTTAGTGTAATCCCTAACTAGTACCTCATCTCCTACTTTAAACACTCTGTTTCTGCCCCCATATTTCAGTATTTGTCTTTGTTGTTCGGATTCAGCTTTTGTTTCAAAATCTATTGGTATTTTATGTCCTATGTTTTCTGTTAACTGTGTCAATCTTGTTCTTGCTTCCCTACCTTACATGAAAAAAAAAATGGTGTTTTGGTGGTGTGTGGTGTTGTCCTATATGCGAACAGAAATCTAGATATTATGGTTTGAATTGGAACATTTGAATTTCTAGGATCTGAAAGTGCTGTTTTGATCTTATTTTTGTATGTTTTTACAGCATTTTCTGCTGCACCATTACTCATTGGATTGTAAGGTGGTG